ACATACATACATACATACATACATACATACACACACCTTTGTCCCGTCTCGTCCTCCTTTTCACGTTGTCTTTCTTTTGTCTTTGCTGCGCGCACACTTACACCAGCGTCCTAGCCTTAATTCTTTTTGCCTCCCCTCGGAGGGGCGTGTGTGTGTGTGTGTGTGTAATCTTTGGAGTCACAAGGTTCCTGTTGGAATGTTTGATAGGACTTTTAAGCAGGGGGGTGCAGAGCACAGTGGGAACTGCACCCAACGAAGCTATCCACTTGTGCTGGAAGCAGAGCCTGATCAGCTCTGTGTACCTGCTTGAATTCTAAACATTTACCAAGATGTGTGGTCAAGGGCTAGTTGCATTCCGCAGACACGCACGTCACGCCGTCATCTGTCGGTTCGTTTTTGACTTGAGCTTTTGGCCCCTTCTCCTTTTGAAGCCCTCCAGGTTCCATAGGGCTTTCTTGGACTGTTCAGGATTTGGGAACCCAGGTTGGCGTGTGGCAACCGCTTTCAAATCAGTACGCATCATCTCAAGTGTGTGTACACCTCGGACTCAAGGGGCAGCGGCACTGAGCACTCCTTGGCAAACTCAGTGCAACGAAGCTATGTCGTGGAGTGGGAAGCACGGGTTGATCATCCGTGTGTACCTGCACTTTTAACAAGTGTGGCGTTCTGTAACTACCTTCTCCTTCAACTGGCCAGGCTGTTTAGGTGAATCTGAGGTCTGCGGGCTTGCACGCTCCGTCGTTAGTTCTTCGACGTGAATTTGTTTCCACTTTAATGCCTCGAGACCTTCTGAACTTGAACTTGCAGGTTTGATGGTTGGAGCCCTCTGTACTACTTAGGTTTTAACTTAACCTACCCAGGCTTCGTCAGGCTTGGAGCAAAATCAGGTCGTACGTATGCATTTCCCAAGTGTGTGTGTGTGTGTGTGTGCGTGCACGGGTATGCTTTCCGATCATGAGGGTCAGGCAACGGACCACAAAACAACAGTCTCGCGCAGGGAGCTGCAGGTCAACAAAAACCACCCGTGACAGTACCCTACCCTACCCTATACTCAATGGAGTGATAATATGATAATATGTGTACCCTGATAGAACTCCGATGGTACATCTAACAAATCCAATTATATCACATACACGAAATAAGCTATATAGTTGCCAACAACTCAAGGACAACCATCAGGTTGGTGGTTCTTCTGGAGTTTCAATCGTTGTTTGTTTGCCTGCCAGTAGTGTGTGTGTGTGTGTGTGTTTGCTTCCCTTCAGTGCGTAGGGTGCGCTTTTGAACTGGATTCGTCTGCGTTGTTCTGCGTGCAATACTCTGTATACAAAGGAACATTGTTGTTGCGTTCTTGTTGCTCTTTTGTTGTTGCTGTTGCTGCTGTTCTTGCTTAATGTGTTGTTTTTGTGTTTGAATGTTTCGTGCTATATTTATAGCGGTTCCTGTTCTTGCTGCTGCTTTTACATGTAACATTGAATCCTCCGGTGCACTCCCAACTCCGTCACATTTACCTCCAGTTTGTCAATATATAACTGACCCTTATATAAGCTGTTGGCACACATTCCACGTCAAATGCAGCCTTTAAAATTCCAAAAGAAACCCACTCCACTCCTCCTCGTGATTGTCATTGGCCTCCATGAGAAGGAGTTTCTCACCATCCTCGCAGGACCTCTCGCCATAAGATTTACAATAATTTTCGTCCTTGAGTTTGATGATCCAAATACCTTGGCCGGATTCAGTTTGTTTGTGGGCCAACTGGATGGCAAGTTTTGTGGCAAGCCCTTTCACGACCGAAAATGGAAAACCCACCTTCACAAAAAGGCAAGGAACCTTCCCCAGAAGAGCCTCGATTCTGTTTGATCACACGCGGTTGGAAGGCCATGGTCTTCTTGAAGCCGGCGGCGAACTCTTCGGGCGAGTAGTATGCCAAAGTGTCCTCCAAACCAATGTTCATGGTCGCCACCTTGCACAAAGCATCCTTGGCACCCATCTTCTCCATGACATCCGGGGATGGCCAAATCTGTTTGCCCGCCTTTCTCAAGGCACGCATGCCATCATCGAACTTTTGCTGGTCTCCACCATCCGCTTTGATCTGCCCGGGGTTGCACCTCACAATGACGAAGTCAAAATTTTTGCAAAGTTCGAAGAACTTGTCATGTTCTTCATGAGTATAATGAATCAATTGGCAGCTCATTCCCGAGTTGATCATTCCATTCACAATGGGAATGGAATCGTAACGATGGCCGTTGTTGCTCTTGTCTGAACCTCCGTAAGGCTGGCTTCGGACATAGATCTGAGCCAAAGCCCCCTTGAACTTTGGAGCTGAAGGCTGATCTAGCATACCCTTGTAGTCTTTGGCAACCACCGTGATGGAGCTGCAATCGACAGGGCCGGGGCATGGTTTCTTCTCCATGCATGCATCCTTAATCTTGGCAAGATGGTCTGCGGGCAATTCCTTCAAGGCTGCAGCAATCTCCTCACGGTTCAACGCACAAGTAAATATTTATTTGGAAACAGCCTGGAAGCACGTGTAAAGAGAACGCAACATACCAGCTGATAACTTGTCCGACGACGACGAAGCCTTTGAACATTGCTGGAGCACAGCCGAGCTTATTGACTCTCACGGTTCGGGAACAACTCAGGACATCGTCGAAGCCTCTACGCGGACTCTGCGCGCAGTGCATTGGGTGCTAATCGATACACTTCTTCCCATCTTTGTGTGGGGTTCTTACTTTTACTGCGTACCCCGTCCGCCTCCGCCCTCCTCATCCCGCCTCGTCCTCCCGCCAAAACCAACTCTCGTCTCACACCAATTCAACACTCACCAGCTCAAATCACTACTGATCTCACACCAACCCAACTCACCCAAACAAACTCAACTCATACTACCTCCTCTGACCTATTCTCCTCCTCCTCCTCCTCCTCACCATCATCATCATCATCATCATCGTCAACTCACCTCACACCAACTCACAGCAACTCATTTCACACTTACACACACTTCAGTCACTAACACTCATTACTCATCTCTCACCAACTCAACTCACAAACTCAACTCATACTAACTTATCTCACCCGACACTTACACTCACTTGCATTCACACCCACACTGACACTCACACTTGCCCACCCACCCACGCACGCACACCCACCTCCGTCCCTTTGCTAAAGCATGCCTGCGATCCTTCAACCCCATCTGTGTTTGCCGAACACCCACATGGCGGCCATGGACATCGCCAGCCAGTTGCAGCCAGTTGAACCTGCGGTCCTTGAAGCCAAACGGAGGCGCACCGCGGCAAGCAGAAAAGAGACAGAGGATGGAGGAACAAGAGGGGCACATGGAGGTCACGAAGTTGCCCGGAGAGACATGAGGCCTAGTAACGTAGCGATGCGTTTGTTACTATGCAGCCAATCCTGGTGAAGGAAACCACCAATGGACCAATTTGGTCCGACCAAAGCAATGCAGTCGACTGCTGTCTCTTCGAGTCGTTTTGGTGCACCCTGATTGAACGAGTTCACAAGGTCAGCCCTGTGGATGGCAGTTCCCCAGTTTGGCAACAGACAGTGGCCACACAGGCGGTTCTCCAGGATGGCACTTGGGATTCCTTCAATGCAACCACCAACAGAACCGCCTCGAGATCAGCCAAGGCAGGAGGGCCTGTCCATGCAGGCCCTTACATCGACCTTGGGGGAGATATGGTCCGACGCAAGGCCTCAAGCCTCCCAATCAGGGGCCACACAAACCGTGGAAGATGCAAGTTGGCTTGAAAGAGACTCACCTCTACAAACAGTTTTTCAGTCTTGCCTGCAACAGTGTGTGGCAACTCCTGCAGATGGCAATGCAGCCACACAATGCTCGACGATGCGACTTGGCGACTCAGCTCCCTCAGTCCATCAATGGCGGGAAGACCAAGCACCAGCCCAAGGGTAAAGGCAAGGGCAAGACTGAGGTGACCTTGACTGAGTTCCATCCTCCCCTTGATCCCGCTCACTTCTGCAAGCACACTTTCCACCACATCACTGGGTGACCAAGCGGCAATATGAAACAACTGTCTCATCGAAGGCTTCACCAACTCCAAAAAAGGCAGGCTAAAACTCTGTTTGCTTCTCCTTTCGCAACCGGACTCCAACCATACCGTGGATGCTTTGCTTCACATCACAAGTGTGACATCCGACATAAGGAGTGGATTCCCCAATTGCCTAAGAAATGGACGCAGAACTGGCACCATAAGAAGAGTGTTTGTCACGACCCTTGGCAAACTCGCGGTGTGCATACGTTCCACATCGCAGCCAATATATAATAGAAGTGTTTCACCCAACCTCAGCAGCCTCTGTGCTTGAGGACCTCTGGCAGCCTCACTAAGCCTGTCTTATTCGGCGGACCTTCAAAGTCAGGGGAGACAGAGGGGAGACAAACTGTATAAGTCAGCGCCGTTCAAGCAAAGGCTTCCCATCTCCTCTGCTTTCGATATGGTGCTTTGACAAAGATCTGTGAACTGAGATTATGATTAGACCCTGATCCAAAACGTCTGCACTCAATCGATCAGAGTCGTTTGAGTTTGAGGGCTCAAAAACAAAAGCTAACACTTATGGTTGCGCCTCTTCAACAAACAGACTTGTATAAAGTTAAACTGAAGTGGAAGCATCCGTAATTATTGCTAGTGAAACATCTTAGAAACCATAAAATTAACGCCTTGTTATCTCTCACTCCCAGTTTGAAAGTGCTTGTCAGTACAGCAAAGGCTTCTTAGTGTGAAACGATGTTCCAACTGCAAAACATACTGCCACATTGTCATTGTCCTCAGGGGACTTGCCGGCAATGGCATCGGTGACTTCCTTGGATGCACCAGAGCCCATGACGACAAAGGTAGTCAAGAAGCGAGAGTGCTGGTTTTGCGTTTGGAATTGTCCGAAACTGCTGCGGAATTCCAAAGCCTTGTCTCAAGATTGTCTTGCAAGTGCAAAACATGCCAGGCCATGTCCTCTGCTCAGAAAATGCCCCACAAACATTGTGCGAAGGTCAAGACCAAGCATTTAGGTAAACGCTCATCAAGCTGAATATGCGGTGAGGTGTCTTGCTGTCTTGCAGGTTGGGATGGCCACTTTTTTGCAGTTCATGCGCTACTCACATTGGATATGTTTATTCCAATTGAGCAACCGGAGTCCCTCACCTTCAGTGCCAAAGGGAAAATTCGGCCATGGAATTCCAAAGGATTTGCACCCTGAGTGTTCCCAGAAACGGTTTACTTGCTGCGCCACAAAAGGGCTGAAGCAGCATAGCAGTGAAAATGGTAGATGTGACCGTGGAGCATCGTTGGACTCTTTTGACTTCTAGACACTTTTTGAACCGGCATCTGTCATACCTCTAGACTCTATATGTACAAATACATATTGTTTCTCTCCAGTGGTTCTGTCTATTTCACAACTTGCCTCTGGAAACACAAGTGCCAAAATGAAACAGTGGCCCGCTAACTGGCTGTCATGCTCACTTGGAGAGGATCTTCAAAGCTTTCTCGCCCATAAGATCGCCCATTCTCTTGGCCTCAGCCTTGTCCTCCGCAGAGATATCATCCCAGTTGGCGTTGGGGGTGTCATCCTTGCAGTAGGCGGCCAAGCAGCGCGAAATGCCAACCTCAGGTGGTAGCACTGGTGGTGGGGTCCCTAGTTAGTTGGAGAGTTTCAGGACTATGAGAAAGCCTGTTGAAAGGTTTCCCAGTGAGCCTCCTCCCCTTAACCCCCCTCATAAGTCCACGAAACGCAGGAGCAATTGAACTCGCCGACGATCCATTTCTCATCCTCAGCCTTGGTTCCTGGCACACAAGGAGTTCAGGATACTTGAGGTTGATGCCTTGTTGAAACAAACACGACTGCTGCAACTCACTCTTGCAAGCGCTCGAAGCAAGGCCCGTCCCCCAAATGAACCTCATGCTCCATGCAATCTTTCTAAAACAACTGGCACCCTTCAACCGCGATGTTTCCCGCGTGGCCTGGTGGTGAGGCGTTGATGAAGTCAGTAGTCCACCAAAGTGGCAAAGGTTCTTCGGCCAAGTCAAGCGAGGGCATGACGTGGGGCAGGTCCTGAACGCCACAAGCCACTAACAAAGCATTTGTTTGTGGAAATGAGGTGACACTTGCTACTTACTGTGTGCTCGATGGCGCTATATAGTTTCTCTCCAAAAATATGCCCGGCCTTTTGCAAGAAATTCTCGGTCAAGCTTTTGAAAAGTGGCTCATCAGGTCCATAAAAGGTGTAGATGGAGCCGGTTCCACCCACAGCCGAGATTCCTCCCTCCTTGGGCTTCTTGTGGATGACTCCAATCAGGGAATCACCAACGAGGTTGTAGCGCAACTCACCTTCCACAATGCGGGGGCAAAAGCGCTGATCCACCAACTGTCCACCAGCTTCCTTGCCACCCTCCAAGTACTTTCCAACGCCCTTGGAGGTCCACGTGCCAGACTTGTCGTTGCGGCCATTCACGCAGAACTCAATAAACTCTGCAACGGTGTGCTCCTTGTGCATGCAAGGGTGATTTTGGCGTTCAGTAAGCCACATGTTTGCATTGTGTGTGCTCCTTCATACATTCAAGGCAGGAACGGGGCTGCAAGCCTGTCATTGCACCAGCAGTGGCTGGAGTCCTCTGCGCGACCTGCTCTTTTCATTTCTCGTTTCTTCTTAGCTTGCAATGATTGAACTGTGAAGGTCGAAACCTTCTAGTGAGAAGAATTGCCTGCAGCATTCCCAGACTAAGGGAGATCATGAGAGGTCAACGATTTAGCAGTGTTTCTTCTGTTCATGAGCAATGTTGTTGGCCCATGACAATCGGTTCACTTCGGAGCTTCTGGCGGGCTCATCCGGTGTGTTTCCGTCCCTTTGCGCGTCAAACTCAAAGCCTTCCTGATAAGGTGGTGCGGGATCATTCCTGCTTCCGCTTCCCCTGCCAAGTTTAACGCCCTTTGCTTTGTGCTCTCCTGTTTGGTTTACGCATGTGTGTGTGTGTGTCTGTGCCAAATCCACTAGGACCCGCACGGTGTTACACTTCAGGGCTCTCACCCAGGAGACTGAAGTCTTATTAAAAACAGTCGAAAGCACCTATCTAAGCTAGGCTTTGGGAAAAGGAGACACCCTTCCTTCCGATGCGGCATGAATGACCACGTGGGTTTGGATTCGGATTGTTGATTGGACAAGTCTGCTATGGACTTTGGAATGATCATCAGTGCTTTGCTTAACCTCCTTCGGGGATCGAAAACCCAGTGTCATTCAGTGAAACTGGTGGTGTTCAGTCGAACCATTTCTGTATGTGTGTGTGAAACTCATGGAGCCACTGGGAGTTGTTCGGTTTATTTTGCATTTTCTTCATCAGCAGGGGGCGGACAGGACTTGCAAAGTTCTGCCCATCCAAGCTCATTGCAACAGTCCTAGGAAGCGGAAGCTGATCATTTCCGCAAACCTGCACCTGAAGTGTGAATGTCTTAAGCACTCTTCAATCGTACAGGTCTTCAGGCTGATCGTGCATTCGCCGCCGCTCGTTTCGATGTCTCTTTTGACCTTGGAACTTGGTTCTTTCGACTTCAGAGTCATGAACATGACGATTAGACCGATCTATTATCACCTAATATTTACTCAATTTTACTCAGGTTTTTGTCTTCGATGGTTCTTCGGAGCTTGGAGCGACCAAACGCATTTTATCACGAGTGTGTGTGTGTGTGTAACCTTTGGAGTCACAAGGTTCCTGTTGGAATGTTTGATAGGACTTTTAAGCAGGGGGCGCAGAGCACAGTGGAAACTGCACCCAACGAAGCTATCCACTTGCGCTGAAGCAGAGCCTGATCAGCTCTGTGTACCTGCTTGATTTTTAACATTTGCCGAGATGTATGGTCAAGGGCTAGTTGCATTCCGCAGACACGCACGTCCTTCCGTCATCTGTCGGTTCGTTTTCGACTTGAGCTTTTGGCCCCTTCTCCTTTTGAAGTCCTCCAGGTTCCATAGGGTTTTCTTGGGCTGTTCAGGATTTGGGAACCCAGGTTGGCGTGTGGCAACCGCTTTCAAATCAGTACACGTAATCTCAAGTGTGTCTGGCCTCGTGCCAGCCCAGGGTGACCCCGCAGAGTGGCCCTGTGGACCCGTTCCCTGCGCCCAGGACCAGAGTAGTCCGCAGCGGGCAAAGTAGGCTTAGGCCAAAGTTTGTAGCCAAGATTTGAGGAACTATTGAATACAAGTAGGCAGTGTGAATCTTTTTGGAATGACATGCTCCACGGAACATGCCACAAAAACGCTCAAATAGTCCGAAGCTGGAACAACTTCTCAAGGAAAGCCTGGCACATGCCAAAATACTCAATACCGGATGGCCAGATAAAACGGGCCAGAAGAACGTCCTCAGGGTAGGACCCAAAAAACAAGTCCAAATATGCTGCCAACAGGGATTGACTTGCCCGCATTCACAATGGGTCACAAAGTTGCTGTTGTGGGCTTGTACCTGTGGAGATTGGATGGCTCCCACCGTAGCCATCCGCAGCAGTGGAGCCTCTCGCAAATTTCCTAGCCAGGCCAATGCGGTCCAAATTAATGGAGGCAGGGTCATAGCCATGAAACTCATGCCGCGCAAGGGATTGGAGCTCAGCAGTTTTCATCAGCCTCCAAGAGTCACGCAGAGAATGAGAAACCCTTTTCAAAAAAAGATTACGTCGAAGGTCAGCCCAGCAAAAAGATAACGGAAAGTGAGGATGGCGCCAAAGGCCATCACGCAAAAACCAGCCCATGTCCACTAACTGTTGGTGCACCATCCACTCAAGTGAAGTGGACCACGCAGTCCCAAGACCAGCATCTCATGGTTACGGTTAGACAGGGCGCGCCATAACATAGCAGCGCCCAGCTCGAGCGCTGCGCCGCCAAGCACAGAGCGCAGCGTTGCCACTGAATAATGAAGCTTTCATTGCGCCGCCAAATGGCAGAATTGAAAACCTTTGTCAAATCTTCCAGGAACTGAGGCAATCCAACCAACGTGTGGGGCTCTGCATGTCTCTGCAACGCAGTTTCAGGGAGGAGCCCAATCCTCAAGGGCCTGAGAAAACGGCCTTGGGTCCGCTTGTTCTGCTTCACATCCGTGATGGCAGGCCGTCCAATGAGCAACCTAATACTTCAGCAAAAGGCTTAACATCAGTCAAGGTGTCCTGCTTGATGTCCACAAACCGGGTTTTTGAGACATTCTCCGCCAAATGAAAAGCAGTTGCAAAGGTGCGCCAAACGCGTTGGACATGTAAAGCGTCATCCAAACAAGAGGCGATGGCAGTTCTGTCATCCATCAAAATGGTCTGAAAGCCCAACCAAGTGATACCCAAGCCTTAGCACAAGAACCATATAGAGAGACGAGGCCGCGTCTCCCAGAGATCAAAGGGACAGAATGGACATGGCCTTTGTACACGTACCAACGTCGAAGGCTTTGCCAAAAGGTTGTGATCGTGGAGATCCATGGGCTCAAGCAGCTCGGTGCAACTTGCAACAATGCATCCCTCAAAACTCTCACAGTCGAAGGCATGCTTGAAGTCTAAAGAAACCCCAGAGCCTCGGCTTTCCAGTTCAGCATCTACGATTGCGGCCATGACCTCTGGCCCAAGAGAACCAGGACTGCCACCAGCAATGTTACGTGGTAAAATGCCAGCTGTCAAACAAATGACCGCGGGGTCATGAATCCAAAGCTCTCCACCAGGTAGAAAGCAAACTGATGGGGCGAAGAGCCTGGTTCCAGAGTATGGTCCACCACCTTGGCTTTCGGAACGCAAACAACGCACCAATCCTTCATGGAAGTGGGTGTGTGCTCCCAAACGCTCATAGCCTGCCAAACAGCACGCACCGCACCAGGGCATGTGGAAATGGCCTTGAGTTCATGTTTGCCCCAACCGTCAACGGGATACCTAGGACGATGGACGATGGATTCCAGTGGTGCAGCGGCACTTGCGACAGGCCGGGAGACTCAGCCTCTGAGCATGGGCGCCAGTCTTGGCGATCTTGACACAATGAAAGCTTCTCGGGTCATCTCATCTTCTTCCTCTCTGTGTTGGTCATGCCAGCGAAAATCTTGATGTGGGTTCGCTTCGCAAAATTCATCAACGTTGGCGCAGGCCTTCCTCAAGCACGGACGCATCGGGGTCTGGCGACCAACTCTCTTTCCAACTGGTGACAGTTTTGCAAAGATAGGTAGCCACCAACTTGCGCAAGGGCCGTCCCAAAACCTCAGCCTTCGGGTAAATCTCCTCTTTGCTGGACTGCTTGGCATTCTTCGCGGCGATGCCCACGGCCATGCAGCGCCAGCCACAATCTCCAGCTCCTCCTAGTTGGACAATTTTGGAGCCAATCGGCCCAGTCAAACCACCAAAAACGCGGTCTTTCTCCAAAATTGCAAGTGGAGCGGACGGTGCCGCTGCTGCTCCAAAAGGGGAGGCACCCTTGGAAACAACCTCCTCGCGTTTCTTCTCAACCTTGCCATCGGACACGTCGTCCTCGTCCTTGTCCTCTGGGGTGTCCAATGCTGCGGGCATCAGGAGGAGTCAAAGGTTCACGAGGTCTGGAGTCAACCTTCCAGCCCAAATCCAGCAAAAGGCCTTCACCCTAAACAGAACCCAACTATGTGAAGTTTTGACCGTCTCCTCTTTCTGAATTCCAAGCTTGGCACCACCACGCCTAAAGCACAAAGGCGCTTGCTCCCATGGCCTGGGTGCGCTGCAAGTATGCAGTCGGCGACTCTTTGTCCTCAGGAGCAAACCACTGGGCAGGCGGCATAGTGGTGATGTTCTTGGCCAAACGAGTGACAAAAATGGCACCCGTTCCTGACAAACGCAGAAGGTCAGAAACTGCAGCGGAAGGTGCAGAATGTAGGTCGACCAACCAGATGTCTTCACTTCCTTCAAAGTGCAACCAAGGAGGGTCAACAAAATTGTTGGAGCCTTCAAAGTGGCATCAACCTTTGTCTTGTCCAAAAATTTCAAAGGTGAAGTGATACGGAGAGACTCAAAGCTAGCGTGCTGAACCGTCGGGGTCTTGGCCTCCTTGTTCAGGATGGTGAGTCCTTTAAGACCATTCAAACTCGCAACACAAGCCTTGATGACAGCGAGGTTGCCCATCCACGGCAAGGTCAAAGTCACCACCACGAATGTGATCAAATTCATCACTTTTCTCCTCAAATTAAGCGATGAGCACAAGTTTGCTATCAATCCCATGGACTTGGGCCAGCGTCTGCATCTGAGAGATCTGGGTTATGGAGATGCAAACGGTCACCGCCGCTTGAGGTTCACGTCCAAGTTCTAACATGCTCTGAGCGTTGGCACAGGAAATGATCTGACCTGCAGGGAAAATCTTCTGCAAGTCAAACTTTGGAACATTAGGATCACTCCCCGTGTTGGATCCCGCTTTCCCTTTGCCTTTGCCTTTTGACATGTTCTTGCTTTGCTTCTTGTCCTCAATGCGAAGCTAAAATATTCCTTGCAAAAGCTTTGCTGCCAAGAGCTCTGTGGCTGATCATCCAACTTGGTGGCCAGCGCAGAAACAGCTTCCAAGCTCTGTGTGAGTTCTTTGGGGCGAGGCTTTGTTTCCTTCCAACGTGCAACCAGGGACTCAATGCCCTGGATGATTTGATCCACTCTTTTCGTCTCCCTCATCGTCCTTGGTCTCTTTCGTCCATTGTTCCACAATTTCAACCAACCCAGAAAGTCTGCGACGTCGCTTGGTGGTGGCTGAAACCCCGGCACCACCGCCCAGAGTCATGGAATGGGACCCCTCAGCCAAAAAGAGCTTCTCATCCAAACCAGCACTATAGGTAGTCGATGTTGAAGAGCCTCATCATCAAAGTCGGGCACCACATCCTCAAAGCAAAAGGGCTCATGCCTGGGCTCATCATTGTCGACGAGCTTGCCCACAGATGTGATGGTTGTTTGCTCAAGCTTGGGTCGGCTGACCCACATTCTCCTTGGTGCAATTCGCACTGATTCGACAGGAGAATCAGCCCGTGGAGGCCGCATGGAGGCAGCACCGACGACTCCACTACAAGTAGGCCGTCTTCGGACACGCCAGAAGTGACCGCAGCGGTCAGCAGTAGGCAGCCTTCGGGCACGCCAACACGTGGTCGAAGCGACCAAAGCTTGTTCTCAAGGTTCATTGGAACCTGTCGCCACCTCAGGCGCACACACAGCACGTACATTCTCAACGAGGTTTGCATAGGTCTTCTAATGAGGTTTGGGTTCGTTGGTTTTCGTCCCCTCCATTTGGTTTCCCTTTTCATCGTTTCCCATTCATCTACTTTTGTTTTCCTCTTTTCTTTCATGTCTGCCTGTCTTCGTGTTTTGTCATCTCAACCTTTCTTTCCTTTGCGCACACACATCGGTCCTGGTCTTAGTGTGCGCCTGCACATCTACATACACTTTAACACAGGTTTCAGGTCGCCCAGGTCTTGACAATGAGGTGGGCTTCATCGGTTGTCCCTGTTCACTTGGTTTCTCTTTCAATTCAACCACACACACATACATACATACATACATACATACATACACACACCTTTGTCCCGTCTCGTCCTCCTTTTCACGTTGTCTTTCTTTTGTCTTTGCTGCGCGCACACTTACACCAGCGTCCTAGCCTTAATTCTTTTTGCCTCCCCTCGGAGGGGCGTGTGTGTGTGTGTGTGTGTAATCTTTGGAGTCACAAGGTTCCTGTTGGAATGTTTGATAGGACTTTTAAGCAGGGGGGTGCAGAGCACAGTGGGAACTGCACCCAACGAAGCTATCCACTTGTGCTGGAAGCAGAGCCTGATCAGCTCTGTGTACCTGCTTGAATTCTAAACATTTACCAAGATGTGTGGTCAAGGGCTAGTTGCATTCCGCAGACACGCACGTCACGCCGTCATCTGTCGGTTCGTTTTTGACTTGAGCTTTTGGCCCCTTCTCCTTTTGAAGCCCTCCAGGTTCCATAGGGCTTTCTTGGACTGTTCAGGATTTGGGAACCCAGGTTGGCGTGTGGCAACCGCTTTCAAATCAGTACGCATCATCTCAAGTGTGTGTACACCTCGGACTCAAGGGGCAGCGGCACTGAGCACTCCTTGGCAAACTCAGTGCAACGAAGCTATGTCGTGGAGTGGGAAGCACGGGTTGATCATCCGTGTGTACCTGCACTTTTAACAAGTGTGGCGTTCTGTAACTACCTTCTCCTTCAACTGGCCAGGCTGTTTAGGTGAATCTGAGGTCTGCGGGCTTGCACGCTCCGTCGTTAGTTCTTCGACGTGAATTTGTTTCCACTTTAATGCCTCGAGACCTTCTGAACTTGAACTTGCAGGTTTGATGGTTGGAGCCCTCTGTACTACTTAGGTTTTAACTTAACCTACCCAGGCTTCGTCAGGCTTGGAGCAAAATCAGGTCGTACGTATGCATTTCCCAAGTGTGTGTGTGTGTGTGTGTGCGTGCACGGGTATGCTTTCCGATCATGAGGGTCAGGCAACGGACCACAAAACAACAGTCTCGCGCAGGGAGCTGCAGGTCAACAAAAACCACCCGTGACAGTACCCTACCCTACCCTATACTCAATGGAGTGATAATATGATAATATGTGTACCCTGATAGAACTCCGATGGTACATCTAACAAATCCAATTATATCACATACACGAAATAAGCTATATAGTTGCCAACAACTCAAGGACAACCATCAGGTTGGTGGTTCTTCTGGAGTTTCAATCGTTGTTTGTTTGCCTGCCAGTAGTGTGTGTGTGTGTGTGTGTTTGCTTCCCTTCAGTGCGTAGGGTGCGCTTTTGAACTGGATTCGTCTGCGTTGTTCTGCGTGCAATACTCTGTATACAAAGGAACATTGTTGTTGCGTTCTTGTTGCTCTTTTGTTGTTGCTGTTGCTGCTGTTCTTGCTTAATGTGTTGTTTTTGTGTTTGAATGTTTCGTGCTATATTTATAGCGGTTCCTGTTCTTGCTGCTGCTTTTACATGTAACATTGAATCCTCCGGTGCACTCCCAACTCCGTCACATTTACCTCCAGTTTGTCAATATATAACTGACCCTTATATAAGCTGTTGGCACACATTCCACGTCAAATGCAGCCTTTAAAATTCCAAAAGAAACCCACTCCACTCCTCCTCGTGATTGTCATTGGCCTCCATGAGAAGGAGTTTCTCACCATCCTCGCAGGACCTCTCGCCATAAGATTTACAATAATTTTCGTCCTTGAGTTTGATGATCCAAATACCTTGGCCGGATTCAGTTTGTTTGTGGGCCAACTGGATGGCAAGTTTTGTGGCAAGCCCTTTCACGACCGAAAATGGAAAACCCACCTTCACAAAAAGGCAAGGAACCTTCCCCAGAAGAGCCTCGATTCTGTTTGATCACACGCGGTTGGAAGGCCATGGTCTTCTTGAAGCCGGCGGCGAACTCTTCGGGCGAGTAGTATGCCAAAGTGTCCTCCAAACCAATGTTCATGGTCGCCACCTTGCACAAAGCATCCTTGGCACCCATCTTCTCCATGACATCCGGGGATGGCCAAATCTGTTTGCCCGCCTTTCTCAAGGCACGCATGCCATCATCGAACTTTTGCTGGTCTCCACCATCCGCTTTGATCTGCCCGGGGTTGCACCTCACAATGACGAAGTCAAAATTTTTGCAAAGTTCGAAGAACTTGTCATGTTCTTCATGAGTATAATGAATCAATTGGCAGCTCATTCCCGAGTTGATCATTCCATTCACAATGGGAATGGAATCGTAACGATGGCCGTTGTTGCTCTTGTCTGAACCTCCGTAAGGCTGGCTTCGGACATAGATCTGAGCCAAAGCCCCCTTGAACTTTGGAGCTGAAGGCTGATCTAGCATACCCTTGTAGTCTTTGGCAACCACCGTGATGGAGCTGCAATCGAC